TCAAGGTACATTTCTCAGTTTATCTGCTTCAGAGATGATATAATATTTATATTATATTATATACATGCACAGTGGAGAAATTTATTGCTCTATTACCAGGGGTCAAGAAACTTTATGTAAAGGATCAGATTGTAAATATTTTTAGCTTTTTGGGTCACGAGGTCTCTGGCACAACTATTCAGTTCTGCCATAAATACTTTGTTAATGAATGGGTGTGGCTACGTTCAAATAAAATTTTATTTATGAAAACTGGCTGTAAGCTGGATCTGGCACTCTGGCTGTAATTTACCAACCCCTGAAATATATTACTTCCATTCTCTGTTTCCCTGGCATTTTATTTGCATGTTCTGATTTTTTTTTTAACTCTTGTCTAATACTGTTAAATTAGTGATACCAGACTTGGAACGGTTCTTTAACTCTTAATGGCTAATAGTAATATTAACATATTTTATTTTATATGTATATTTTATTTTCTTTAACTGTCTTCTCTGAGACAACACTGAATGTATCAAATGATATAAGAACAATATAAACTTGTTAATGGCTAAGGACAGTGTTTCCAAAGGTTCCAGTCTGTCTTTGTAGCTTATTGACCATCATTGAAAGGCTACATGTAAACTGAAATTATCTTTCTTTGATTAGGAAAAAGAGATTTGGAATGAGAGATGTACATGGTATTCAAGATCATTTCCATGCTCATCATTTTAATCTGTTTTGTCTCTTCTACTCCCCTCCTTGATGACAGCTTCCTGACTATTCAGACTCAGTATACCTACTCTCTTAAATAACCCTGGATGGTTTGCTTTTCTCCTTTCACTTGTCTTCTCCTTCTTAAGTGTTTCTGTGTATCTTGGCTGGCTTATAGTTGGCATTTGATCTTACAGCCTATGTGATCTTTAATGTTTCAGGAATGATTCTATAGTTTTGCAGAGTTCATATATACAGTTCATTTATTTTCACACTTATAAAAACGTTTAATCCTTTGATTTCACATTCACTCCCTGGTATGATCACAGGAAATCCTTTCTAGTTAAGCCTAAAAAACTCATTTAAGTATTTTGTTGTGTATTACCTACTTATTATTCAGTTTCCATTCATAAATTTTCATATTTATATAAATTCTGCAGTTAAAACTACATGTTTTACATATTTTGTGTTAATTCTATACTTAAATATATATTTATCACCAGGTATTTCTTCTCTCAGTTTCTTTAATTGTATGCTTTTATTTATTTTCATTTACCTCTGAGTTGACTGGACTATACCTTCAGATAGATTTTTCACGAAGGTCCAGGGGTGATATATTTTCTCAGTACTGTGTATTTGTGGCATTCACGTATTAATGACTTACCTGGGTGTTGAGTTCTTGGGTGACACCTCTTTTCTATCCATATTGCTTTCCTCATGGTGGATGTTGCTTTACTGTTCTCTGACATCTAATTCTGATGAGAAGTCTGTAGGAAGCCTGA